TCGGAGAAGACATTTCATGTGTGACTCAACATGTGAAAATCACCGGCAGAATCAAGACATTGATGGTGGAGGTTCCATTCTCTTCATCGGTCGCACCCTTTCAGGCGATGGCCAGGATCAAAGGCAGTTGAAGTGCTTGTGCGAACTGATTATCTTGTTCCATGTTGGAAGGTCCATCAGATCAAAAGAACTCGAATGCTTTTCCCAATATCGCGGTGTTGCTTGAAGAGCATGCGGGAAGTAACTCTTGAGTCTCGAAGCATATTCGAGATTCCGTCGTGCTCGAGGTAAGATTCTGTGGCTTGCTCAAACAAGACAAGACATCAAGTTTGCGGTTGGCTTTTTGAGCACCCAACAGGCTGCGCCTACAAGGCAACCCAGAATGGTTTGCGATTCGAGGATCGTGATTTGGTGCTCCAGCTTCCGCCTGAGCTCAACTCTCAGTTTCTATCTTGCCTGGAAGATCAGCAAACGCGTCTCCATGTCTTTGCAGATGCTTCTCACGCACCATACCGTTGTCTTGGTTGAAAGGGGGTCTCAGGGGAGCGATGTGCTACGCTGGGTGCCTTGTCCGTGCTGTGGCTAAAGTGCAAAGCGTAGTCTCGCTTTCGTCGTGCGAGGCCGAACTGCATGCCTTACAACATATGTGTCAAGAGAATCGGACTCATTTGGCTGATTGAGCGTGTTTTGTCGAGTCTCGAGGGTTTTCCAGTTGAGATCACTAGCCAGGCTCATGTCGTTGAGCAGTCCGAAGATGGAGGTGAGGATCCAGAGAATTCTCGTATTGTGACAGACTTGCTGACAGCCAGTCTGCCATCGACCTTGTCAAGGGTCAGGATCTGCCGAGGAGGTCACGCCACATCGAGATTCGTGTGGAGTGGATGCGCCACAAGATGAATTCCGGTCAGGTCCGTCTTGAGTGGATTCCTGGATCGCAGAATCCAGCGGACTTGTTCACCATTAACCTGCATCGGGGTCGCTTGGGCTTTGTGACTGTGAAGGATCCTGTGGAGAAGTTGTTTGAGTTGTCAGTGCAGCGTGGCAGGATTGAGATGTCCCATGAGTCCCCTATTGCTATGCTTGAAGTGTGCTGCTCAGCGAAGTCGGCGCTTTCCCAGGAGTGTTCGCTTCAGGGCATCCCGTATGCAGGTGTGATCCAGAATATGCAAAAGCTTCATGTGTACGAGCAGGCTTGTGCTGTTGTGCAGCGCTGGCGTAAGGATGGTTGCTGGGCACATGTGCATTTGTCCACTCCATGTTCGGCAGGCTCTCCACTTAAGAATTTCACGAAGGATTATGAGCCCTCGCCTGCTGATGTAGAGTGGGATAGTGTGATGCAGTCAGCCGGGCGATACCTTCAGCTTGGCGATGCATGTCGTTTGAGCTTCCTAGATACAACAACGTTTGGAGCAGATTCGGGACTCAGCAGACATTGTGCAGAGCTCGGCTGATACATGAGTGTCACGTTCATCTTTGCCAGACTGGAGTGAGAAGCAGGTCAGGTCTTCCCGTTGGAAAACAGTTACGCTTCATGTCTTCTGAGCCCATGTTTGCACGAAGACTTCACATGATGTTTGGCACATGTGGTTGTGTGAAGCATGCTGCTTTTGGTGACACGGATTGGCCGAGCACAGGGTACTACAATCAGAGATTGGCACGCGGTATTCCTTTTAGTTTGCTGTACGATGCTCTAATTTTGAGAGTTCTGCTCATCTGATGCTCATTTTCTGATGCTCATTTTATCTGGACGCCTTCATGATTAAATCATGTGGCGGAGTCGTCGTCTTTTCTCTTTTCTTGGTCGTCTTTGACGTCATTGGCACTGCAGAGCACTGCTGAGTAACTGAAGTTTCGTTTAGTCGCGCCTGAAGCCATGGATGAGTTTATAGTGCTATGTGCTGCCCTTCTTTTGCTGGGTATGCTTGCAGGAGGACTTATCACTTTGACATTTCGCCGTCCTGTGGTGGTTACTGTCCAGATGGAAAAGTCGCAACATGATTATGCCAACAGAGGAAAGATGCCTGTTGAGCCTGGTGCATCTGCTATGCCGAAGTCTGCAAAAGCTAAGGCGAGACGTGAGCCATTGCAGACTCAGACAGATGGGACGTTCTTTAAGAATCGTCATCACTTTGCGATTTTTCTGGATGATGGGGAAGCTGTGTACCACAAGACTTCAGATTGTGCAAAGAGGCATGCCACCCGAGTTGAGCTGATCAAGGAGATATTACCATGTGGTGTGTGCCGCGCAATCGCAAATGCAGATTCCTCAGTTTACCTCTCCAAGTATGGCGACAAGTATCATTCTATGGATTGCAAGCATGTGCAGCAGAAAAATTCCCATATCAATGGTTTGACGCCTTGCTCGGAGTGCTGGTCTGGTCCTCGCTTTCTTGAGTGAGCTTGGGACGTGGGGATGAGATTGGTACTTTGGTTTTT